GAAAACAATTAAAATCCAAACAAAACAAAAAATCATAGAAAATTGTTAAAATAAGATAATTAAGGAAAATTAATCAAAGACAATGCAAGGAATTGACGAAACTTATACTAAAAAACATTGAATGGATCTCCAAACATAAAAAGGATTCATCATAGAAGCTGCACGTAACAAAGCAGTGTACATCATAAGATAGCTTCGACATACTCAGTATCATCGTGCATTAAACTCAAAGTATAACATGCATCTTTGAAAGTACGGTGGACAACACCATTAATTGTTCTTATATCCATCTAAAAACATGGATCGCGAACGACATGCAATGAAACCCTCAAGTAGTAGGCTTCGCCAGCGTTAGAGTTACATTTGGCTATAATACTCGGTCTGAAGTTACCGCAAAGACGGGGGTGCCATTGATGTTTTTATGATCCCAGCCCCAATGGATCGGAAATTCAAAATACATATACGATATGGCTTCAGGATAGTCCTAATTACACTTTAACGAACCTGTAAATTTGTCGTTGTAAACATCGCAGAAAAATGTTCATCTTCTGTAAAAATGATTTGAGATGGAGGCAGATGTTACGGCAAAATCTGAGGATCACGGAGGGAAAGATTGCTGGTTGCTATAGAAAATTCATAAATTTTTTGAAGGAAAGAACTATTAGACAATGGATTATCATAAGACGAAAGTCTAGAAGCAGAAAAAGACATTTAAAGCACAAACTAAAATAAACAAACATGAATTTTTATTTACCTGACAATTTTATTGTAAAGCGGGAGATAAAATATTCAATTAGCGAAGTATGAACTATAAGAGTAGGTTGTCATCATGGAAATGCATAAATAATATATATATATATATATATATATATATATATCAATTTTTTTAAAAAGATATGGATTTATTTTTTAAAAAGATGCTAAACCTTAGAAGACGAACATTGTATGTAAGAAAACATGAAGACCGAGAGGAGTATATATAGCACGATGGATTCGCTAGGGTTTAGATTAGTGCTGACTTTGATATCGATGGCCCATAACCAAAATCAGTGGCTAGGACCAAAATCGAGATTAGTGGCCCATAAATAAAATCGATGGCCCATAATTGAGAAAAAAGACACATCACGGGTATTTCCATGTAAGATTAATGATTGAGCTATCATAACAAATTAAAACGCCATATAATATTTTTTAATAATGACACATAGGACAATTGCTGTGGAGACGGCACATCAGATGTTGTGCGGGGAGGCAGAGAGAAATTGAGTTAAAGCTTTCAGGGACATATAGATGCTTCAGGGACATGTCGATGGAGAGAGAGAGAGTGTGAGGGATAGAAATAGAGAGAGAGAGAGAGAGAGAGAGAGAAAGAGAGAGAGAGAGAGAGAGAGAGAGAGAGAGAGAGAGAGAGAGAAAGGGGATAAAGAGATAAAGACAGAGAGAGAAAGAGAAACGGTAGAGAGAGTTAACCTTATAGGTACATGATATTCAGTCTATGTTAGCTCATATTTTTTGTGTTCCTATTTTTTTATTTTCGAAATATTTCTTATTTTAAATGTAGTTATCTAAATCATATGATATATATAAATTTAGGACGAGGGGGAAAGGAGAGAATGAGAGATAAATATTGAAAGAGGGATGGACACATGGATGAGGAGAGAGATATAGTTAAAGTTTTCAAGTATATTTGATTGATATAAATAAATGAAGGAAAATAAGAAGAAAATAAAGTCGGAGAGAACGAAGAAGACAAAGGCGATGAAGAAGAAGAAGAAGAAGTAAAATAGGAAGAAGATGAGGAAAACAGAAAACAAGAAGAAGATGTGACAAAAAAAACTCAAAGAATAAGAAGTAACAAAAGAGATATAGAATGAAGAGGTGAAAGAAAAAGAAATAAAAGAAAATGAAAGAAAACTAAGAAGAAAACGTAAGAGAAGAAGGAGAGATAAAGATGGAAGACGATGAAGAAATAAAAAAAAAGATAAAAATTAAAAATTAAAAGATAAAAAAGAAGAAGAAGAAAAACAATTATGTAAAGACGAAAACTCGTTTTTGTCTTAATTCAATTGATTTGTGAGTTTAATAGTAAATATATTTTTGTTAATTTTAGATGGTGTTTCCTTTTTGGATTTGCTTTATTTTATTATGTATATATTAAATAATTGTTTTTAATTATTTTTAGTTTTAGTTTACAACATTGAAATCTCTATGCCTGCACAACAGCAAATTAACAACAATATAAAACCCAAAAAATAAAATAGAAAATTAAAAGAAGGCGAGAAAAGAAAAATAATCACTATAGAAATCACAAAAAGGAAATATGGGAGACTATGCCACAGAAACAAAATTCACAGGCTTACTAAAGTACAAAACCGATTTATTTTGAGAATGAGCGAAGAATTGACATTCGAGAAGGGTGAGTTAGTTGTTGTACGTGAAAAACATATGTAAGCTAACGATATATATAGTGTAGAATAAATGTTTTAAGGTTTTTTTTTAATCTTTTTTGGTGGTCCATTTTACAAATTCGGTGAATTAAACGAAATCAATAGCCCATTAACTAATAGTATAGATGGCTCATTAAAATCATATTAACCATAGTGACACGTAGGATTAATGATAATCTAACTAAAATTAAGAAAAATGACACATATATATGACATATAAGCAAATCGCTCTGATGTTGACATGTAAGAATTTTGACTTCGAAAATAATAGTATAGATTGTACAGTCTAAGAACATTTTATTTTTAAGCCAGGCGTGTGCGATGCAACATCTCTGTCCCTTTCTATGACTTTAGGCAACTAGATATAGACTCGGTCAAAAAATGTATTTATTTCATGGACAAATTCTTTGTTTGAAAAAAAGGGATTTATGTAAAGCAAACTTAGCAAAACATCTACTACGAAACAAAAAGACAAACAAAACCTGTCAAACAAAGATCCATTAAAAAGAGATC